CTGACATAAGTCTAAAATGTCACCCATGTCTCTAGATTTATACTCCTTAAAGCAACTTTATCTTTTGACTTGACTTCTTTAGGATTTAGACGTGGTTCAAACATTTTCAGAAGGATTTTAATCCAATGTCACCACACTTTGCCATGGACTGCATTCTATACTCCTCAGCCTAGAGCATCCTGTTCCCCATAAACCCCGGACACCAGTGAGCAGAGAGTGTTGTTAAAGGCTGGTTTTGGTGAGAGCCTGGGCTTTTCACTGGGAGGTACAAGGCATGAGCTCTGTTTTAATTAGACACAGCTGAGCGGACCACCCCTCCATACACATGCACACACACACCAAGTCTATAATCCAGTCTTGGCTTAAAAGGAAGTGCTGGAGTTTCCATGTCTTCCTGGGTGGCCCATCGGTCATTCTGCGTGAGGGGCCTTGGAGAGGCTGTTTTTCTTGGTCACAGACTTCAAAAGCACACGGCTTTCGCCCCCAAATAAAAGGTCTGGTCGAGCGGTTTGCCATTTGAGAGGAAGGCGAAAGCGTTTGGGGAATGTTTAGTCTTGATTTAATGGGGGACTTTTAATCGAATTGCTCCTTTTTTCCCCATCAGCGCTGCATCCTCTAGTCAAACGGAGACACATGCTGTTCTCTTGGCACACTGACACTGTTTGATATTTGTTTAAACACGGTTGGTGAAGGCTGTGGGATTTTGTCTGAGATGTTTTTATTTGATTATTTTTTATTTTGTGGTCACAGTTCTGGTCACTTTGAATAAAGGCAGTATTTGTCTCATAGCTCTCCAGTGAAGAGTGCTTGGTTAGGGCTGAGAGAAGTAGATCTGAGGCCCCTCTACAAGCTCAATGTGCGCACAGTTCCAGAGCACTTGTGGTGTTACCATGAGTTAATCTGGGTAAAAGTCCTGCTGACAGTTCAATCGTTCTGATGTACAGTACTGGTCAAAATTTTGGACAGACCTGATTGAATGTTTGTTTTTGATAATCCTAAAGGCTTATCATTGTTTTGAGGACAGGTGTAAATTGTGAATTTGATGCATATGTAGGAATTTCTTTCCTAAATTATTTGTTGTTTTAAAAATATTCTTTAATATTCATTAAGTTCTTTTGGATTGTAAAATGCTGAGCACAATCATTATATCATCCTAATTACTATGCACACCTCGTTAAAAGTTAATTAGTGGAATGTCTGCCCTCGTTAATGCATTTGAGCCAATCAGCTGGGTAGTGAAATAGAGTGGGTCTAAATAACTATATTTGGTAAAAGGCCAATATTTCTGGTTTTGCTAACTCTATATGAGTCATTTCAGGTTTGATGTCTTCACTGTTATTCTAAATAATAGAAAATTGTCAAAATAACAAATGGAAAAAATCAAAAATAAAGAAAAGCTCTTCTATGAATAGAAGATTCATAGAAGAGCATTTTAAGAATTTTAAATGGTGCTGTGTTTATTTTCACTTGCTTGAGGATGAAGTGGAAAGTGAATACAGCAGCTTTCCTATACAGCCAAAGTGGGTGGGCAACTAGACATGCACTCCCACAGTTGGTACGTTGTTCAAATGTTTAAGCTTGGATATTTCCGTATTTAAACATATTCTGGCTATTTTTCATTCCGAGACTAGGCTAAAATATACAGCCTATCAAATGTTACTACATACATTTTCAAACACAGCTTTGAAACAGGGTAAGCTGACCACATTGCCATGTCTCGTGAAGCAAACCTGACCTGACACCTTCATCCTGCCGGTGCTATCGTCATCCTTATCACCCTCATAATCATCGCGAGTGCTGTGTGCTGTTCAAGCGCTATTACTGGGCGGCCTGCAATGAGCGTCTGAGCCATGTGGCCTTCAAAAGCCTTCATTAATGTGTCTGCTGAACCCAAGCCAGCTGCTTCTAATCTGCTCACCACCATGTCCTAAAGTGTGTGAGAGTGTGTGTGGGAGTGTGTCGGGGTGGGTGGGTGTTGTAGCACTTCTGTGCATGTATATGATTGTGTGAGTGTGTGCATTTTTTTCTGGATTACATGTGTGTGTCCTTATGTTTGGTAAGGTGGTATTGCTACTGTGTGTGATGTGATTTGATGTGTATGTGCCATGTGTACTCTGAATGGACTTGCACATTAAAGGAATACTCCAGTGTTTTTCATACGATGCATGAAACTATTACCATGAACAGAAATTTCAGTGTTTTCGCTATACTTAGAAAATAACTTGTTCACTCAAAACATACTTTTGTCTGATTGTTTTCTCTTGTAAGTGTACTTTTTGTATTTTGCATTTTTGAGTAGTCATGAAAGCTTAAAAAAAATATTTTAGAAGCAAATTAGCTTCTCTCCAATATCATATGTCCTCATTTTAAGCATCATGAGTTGTCCGAACTTTGTACTCCACCAGTGAAGAGCCTGCATATTATGTTTTGATCAAAGTTTCTAATCTGTTTAGTGCAATGAAAGAAACATAGAAAAACTACTACAGCTGTCTAAAGGCTACCACACACCGAATGAGCAGTGCTGCACGGCAGAGAGTACAAAGCACAGCTATAGCACATAGGAAGCTTTGCAGATAAACATGAAGCTCAAGCTCATTTTAACAGGGGTGGACGAAGCACAATACTTTATACTTAAGTATATGTTGAAGAACACATATTACGTATTTAAGTATGGGTATTCTATCTATATTTCTACTTGAGTAAAGGTATAAAAGTACATTCTTGTGGATATGCTTAAGTATCAAAAGCAAAAGTAGTTTGAGGTATCGCAGATGTTATGTTATTGTAGATGTTATATATATATTTTGAGCATTAAGTATATTTACAATCACATACTTTTGTACCCTTACTCAGTAGAAATATAGAGATTACCCATACTTTTACTTATTTATGGGTATTCTATTTACACTTGTACTTGAGTAAATGTACTAAAGTACGTGCTTGTGAATATAGCATTAAAAATAAGTGCTTGTAGAGGTATTGTAGATGTGTTATAGGTTTTTTGAGGATTAGGTAGATCTGTATGATTGTATAGACACAAGCAACTAACTAAAAATTTCAAAATTGTCTCCTCATTCATGAAAATAATATTGTATAATGTCTATGATAACTCAACATACTTTTGATACAAAGTACATTCACAACCAAGTACTTTTATACTTAAGTTTATACTATAAGTTTACCAAGAACTACTTATGCTCTAGTACAGAACAACTGTACTTCGTCCACACCTGCTTTTTACACTTTTACACTTAACTCGTATGTATTTAATGGAATTAAACTTTCAACTTCATGTAGTGAATTCATCACGTTTAGTATCATCTGACGTTTCACAAACCTGCCATTTTTAAGTTAAAGCTATGAAGTGAAATAAGTTACAATAGCCTTTATTGATCAAAGTTGCATAAAAACGAGCACAAATGTGACGCATAAGCTATTCTGCGTCAGATTCATGAAACATTTGTAAGAATGTAGAAAGAAACAGAGATTTGAGCTTCAGTGTGTGAAATCAAGTGCCAGCCTACTTGTACTTACATATCATTTACATAAAGCACGCCCTAATTCATGCAGATGTTTCGGTATGGAGCCAGTAGAAGCGCAGCATTGGCTGTACTCATAGGCGGAGTTTGAGGTTGAGCAGTAAGTGCACTGCTCCCCCTACTGACCAATCTTTATAGTGTTTATATTATGATGATAAAATTTCAAAGATGAAATTGATGAATAACTAAGCTGTCTGTAAGATTTGTGTGTGTTTATTTTATGATCAGATTGACTGTACACAACTTAAATAAGTGCCAGTGTGACTAGGCTAGTGCCGTTAGCTGAAGTGCAAGCAGATGTTTAATATTTGTCTGTTTAGAGTCTGTTCCCTGCTCCTCATTGCAATCAGTAATAGATTTCCTACTTCTCTGCCGTGTGTACATCAGGAAATGCAGTGGATCAGCAGAGCAGCTTCAGTAAGCTCAGCAGCACATTTGTGTGGATTTTGCGAAGGCTCTGTGTGCGGCTGGTGCTTTTCTCCTCTTTTATTTATTTCTCCACTGGCAGGATGTTGCCACTAACTGCTCCCTGCCCTGCTTCTGCAGACCACCCTCACCAGTCATTTAGTGTCAGGCCCACCCAGCGCTCACATGCAGTCAGACCAGATCTGCCCCTAAGCCTGGAGGTGGGATAGTCTCAGGACTCACAGGCTTAAAGGAACAGCTGGGCAAAAAATCCAATTAGCACAATTTCCCCATGACATGTTTGTCTCAAGTTTGCTTCTTTAGTTTTACGCGAAAGTTGGAGCTACGAGGTTAAAGGAGCTAACGAGTAATGAAAGCTTATACTGCACCAATTAGCACAGTGTAAACTGCATAACTACTAACCTCAAACTTGCTTGCTTATGTGGTTTCTGACACTGTATGACATACTGTTATGCATAAAAAAACAATTATTTGATGTGCCTTAGTCCATTTTTTTAACAGTATGTAATACAGTGTAAGAAGTGTAAAAAAACCACATAATCAAGTCTTTTTTGGGATTACTTAAGAACTTGACGCAGTTTTAGCTGTGTGTGATGACTTGGCATGCAGTTTGCATGGTGCTTATTAGTGTAGTATAAACTTCCGTTACTTGTTAGCTACATTAGCTTTGCATCTCTGGTGCAAAATTAAAACCTGTCTTGGCTGATTAACTAATTTAGACTAAGGATAAAAAAATAAATAAATATAAAGATACATTTGATTTTTGCTAAGTTATTCTTTTGAGGCTATTTTTTAGCCGGTCGTCTCTGGACATCAGACTTGAGGTTCTGTCACATGTTGTGAGCTCATGTCTGGTTTATGGTGGGGGGTCCTAACTGCTCTGGAGGAGTTTATGGCTTTCTGGCACACTAACTCCGATTCATATCAGCACAGTACAGCGATTATGGGCCGCTCAGGACTGGTCAAAGGAAATGGACCAGCTCGATCTCTCTTTCTCTCACTAACTTCTCTCTCCCTCTCCTTCCCTCTCTCCAGCTATGGTAATGAAGGTGATTAACTCCAGGCCGGGTGTCTCAAGCTGTAGGCAGCCTCAGCGAACACGCAGATTTATGGAGACGACGACAGTTTGCTGCTATGGAAATGTGACGCACGGAGAATGCAGAGCAAGGTTAGGGTTTGTAAGAACAATTTAATTTCGATTCTAGCTGGAGGGGGACCACCCACTGACTTCTGGCAATCGCCTCTGGCTGTGTCACCTTGGTAGGATGGAGAGGACTTTTGCTTGCATGGTATTATGTAAATAGTGATTTTTTTTGCCTTCAACAATACCTTGAAACCCAAGGCCCTGAATACATACATCTGTATTTAATAATCTTATGAAGAAATTGTTTGTACATAATTGACTGCTAGGAATTAATTGAGGAGCAGCACATTAAATGTGCAGGTTTAAGAATAGTAAATGTATTAATTTAAAATAAAAAATGAAGCTCTCACTAATATGTGTGTGTGCGTGTTGGTCTGGGTGGATGGTGGTGGGGGTATGTGTTGCAATTTAATTTTTTTGTGTCTGGTGGTTTATTCCGCCCTTCATTCTGTGTTGCTGCATCAATTCCCATCTGCCTTTCCCCAACATATAAATTATGAAATTTACATGTGATGGTGCAACTGCCAATCAGGCTCATCTGTAACCAATGGTGATCCTGAGAAATCTCACTAGAGCACTATATTACCAGGAATTTCATTTCTTCTCCTCTGTCTGTCTCTTTTGCTTGCTTTCTATCCCTCTCTACTAAGGTGGAATGTGTGTGTATTTATTACTTTACGGGGACTAGATGTTCCTGAGATGACCAAGATGAATCGTCTCCACAACATCAGGATTTTGTGGATGCATTTGGCTGCTGTCCATGAAGAAAAATGCCCTCTCTTCTCTTAAAAAATGCATATCTTCTGAGAAATGGTTACGGAGACCAAAATTATTTATGGGTTATTTTGGGTTGGTGAGGTTAAGGATAGGAGCACAGCAGCATTTAGATACTAATACACTAATATAGGACATGAAATCACCTCACAAAACCAAGACAAGGAAACACATTAGTGTGTGAGCAGTGTTAGTAAGTAGAGGTTATTCCCATTCCGTCAGGCCACCCCATGGAGATTGGAATTCGAGCCACAGGTAGCTATTAAACTCCCGCTAGAGCTGAGGCGAGTAATTTAAGAGCAGGCTCTGGCTCATAGAAGGACTTTGCTGGGGCTGAAAGCTTCCGCCAACGCACTTGCACCATTCACTAGCAGACCTATTAGTGCTGATTGTGGAGATCTGGCAGTCTTACGCGTTTGTGCCTTCTCTTTAGAGAGATGTGCCGGTCGGTATGGATGCAGGAGCAGGTCGGGATGGATTCCGGTGGGCGTCTGTCTCAAAGGGACGTTTCCCGCTGCACGTGCCATATCTTTCCATTACTGCGTTAGTGGCATCATTTATGTCCCATTAAGATCAACAATTGCCTTGTTACGAGCTAGTGCGAGGACATTGGCATTTTCAGAAACAAGTCATCCCTCACTTCATTGACATGTCCCGATTGTAAATGAGCAATAAAACCAAGAAAACATCAGGGAAATTGTGCTGTTTTAGCTCTACTCTATTAACAGGAGAGTGCGCTCTGCCTGAGCATATAGGGATGTAAGTGTAAGTGCAGTAGGAAATGCAAAACAAGATTCATTTCATTCCTGGAGATCATAATCTAGCCACACAATCATGTTTATAACTGTATATGCCAACAGCAGTGCTATCATGCCAGAAACATGTCTCAGGGAGATTTGAATGCAGTATTTCTTTTTAATGACAATTCCAGACAACTTCCTAACGCCATTGGGTTCGTTATATCTGCAGATCATCTAAGCTTGGCCTCCATTAGCACTTACTTGGTCTGCATCCACCCGTGTGTCCTTGTCCGTCAGGTCCTGTGGTTTGCTCTATTAGGCTGAACTCCAGATTCTTCTGGGGGGTCTGCTGTGCTAGGACTCTCTGACCAAAAACACATGATCGCAAAACTCTACTTTTTTGGAGAAACAGAATGGCATTAGCACTGAGAGATGCTATAATTGTATATATTTTTATAACAGTTACATACTCTTGCATCACTCCAGTCTATAGCAAATATCACTTTGGATGTGTTCATTCTTTTGCCCTTATGTTGATCATTCTTTCAAGCGGACATTAAAATTTCACCAATTTTTTTTCAAATTTTGTGTATAAGTACATGTTACATATAAGATGTAAACAAAGTCATTTAAAGTGGTTTTAAAGTCAGAAATATTTCCAGTGGTGGTGATAGGAACCAGATGTCTGAAGAGTTTAATACCTCTAGAAGCTCCCTCACAAAAAACTATTATACAAAATGGTAATGAATATGCTGTCTGATGCCTGAGACATTGTGTTTCAGTAGTTTTGAGAAAAGATTTTGGCTTAACTCAGTTTTTTTAAGCCATATATGAGAGACGTACATGCAAGGCATCGTAGGGTACAATAGTCCCTGACTAAAACTAATTTTCCACTATTTTATCGTTATCAATGATATATATGAACACTCAGAAGATGTGTGTAGGTTCACTGGTTGTTTTGGATTGTAAATAAAATTGTTATATTTGTGTTGTTGACATTACAAACCCTGGTTCTTATTGCCACCACTGTAAAGAAATCTGAATCTGAATAATTTTCCCTGCAACAAACCATTTCACATAAAACCACTCTGAATGACTTTGTTGACATCCCATTGACTAAACTGAATAGAGACTTTTTGTAAAATTGGTGGATTTCCCCTTTCAGATGTACATTTTTTAGTGTAGGGACCCAAAGCAAAGTACTATGAAACATGCTCTTAAAGTCTATGGTCAAGGCCTTTTATATAGCTATCATATTGATTTCATATAGGCTTTCATATTGCTCATGATCATATTGATCACTGCTAGCTATGTAGCCCTATAGCTTAAGGGCCACCTTCGTCTGTGTCAGTGTTTTCGTGTTGAATTTCACCTTAACGTGATGCTTTCAGCTAACAGATCTACACTGCCTGTCCTTACTTGAACCCTATAAGCCTATCCAATCTCAGCAGACAATAAGCTAAGATTTCCCAAGAGGGATGTACAGATATATCTTCATTCATATCATCGCGGATAGCCGGTTCGGATGAACAGAGAGCAAACAGAGAGAAAAACAGCACAGCACCTGTGGATCACTCATGTGTTTGTAGACAGGTTTTCATGGCACCTCAGATCAAATGGAAGGAAGTATTAGTGGCAGATGGACACACGGAATTGAGGAGGCTGCAATTCAAGCTCTCATCAAGAAAACAGTGTAAGCTATTTGTTTTACCCTCACTAACAAACAACTCAGTGGAGGTTATTACACTGTTCCTAATCAGCTTTCCAGAAATGCTGGCCCTAATGCGTAAACAGGACAGTGGCAGAAAATTCTCTCCAAGACTCCTCAGTGGAGAACCCATTCTGAAGTGCACCAAATAGTGGAGTAGAGCTTGAAATATTTGTCCCAACCTGATGGGACCTGACTGCTCATGTCATCTTCGGTTGGGTTCAGTCCACATGAATGACAGGGAAAAAGTTAATGTCAAACCTTGTGGCCACACTCATATTGTTGACAGAATTTAGCATAAAGGTCGCCCTCATTTGACCTACGCCGCAAGGGAATCCCAGTACATGTCCACCATTGTGTGTCAATTTCGGGCTCAGAACTTGATGACGGCTCAGGTTGAGTCAGACTCAGGCAGGAAATTCTCTGCCTGCATTCCGGTCCAAACTAAGCTTTATAGTGGGGTTATTATTATTAGTGGGCTTGTTATCTGCATTCTGTGACTCCAGACCAGCATAAGTGCGTACAAGGCCAGATACCAATACGCATATGATGCCAAGTCCTTTCAGCAGATATTTCCTCATACCAAGGCATTTCAATCAGACATAAAAAGCACAAAGTGGTTGGCAGCTCAGGACATGTATCAGCAGACTGTTGGTGTGCATGATCTCCCTCTGCTGCTAGTGTCAGAAATACTCCCTGTTCTTTTGCTTCATGTCAGGGACTTGTCAGTATCTGAGGCAGATTTGTGGCTGGCTTTGAAAGTTCACCCACTACACAGAGAGGAGGGATGATATTGCTTATGCAGGGAAACTTTGAAGCTTTCCCTCTAATGCGCTATGCTTATGTGAGGCATGGAGAGAGATGAGAGGAAGGGAGAGAGAATGACAACAAGCACTCGGACGGCCTCTTTCTTTCTCCCACAGCATGTGGATGGGTGAGTCATGTATCTTACTGCTATGATGTGCCTGGTGATACACACACACACACACACACACACACATGCACACACACACACGCTAGTTAAAACGTGGTTGGAATGAAAGAGTTGTGTGGTGGTGCACAGATTGCAAAGTGCTGATGAGGCATACTGCTCTTGCCTCCATAAAATCGTAAAAAAATGTCCGTCATAGTAATTAACTCAGTCACAACCAACGCCTTTTTTTCATTACCATGTGACATATGAGAGGTTGGGGAAGTAATGATGCCTTGCTGAGGACAGAATTAATACTTCAATCTTATCTGGTATCTAGATCATAAATGGCCCTTGAAATAGGATGAAATGAAGGATATACCAGGAGGAAGAGCACTAATCAAGCACAACTATAAAGCCACTCGAATTGCTGAGATTCATTAAGTCGTTTGTTATGTTTGACGTTTACTTCTTTATGTCATCTTCATTTGACCTACCCAGCCAGGGAATCCTGTTACATACCCATCACTGTTTGTATGAACCAGCATAAGAACTTCTGTGATAAACGCTGCAGCTCTTACTACTAAAGTTTCTCTCCACTCAGACCTTTGTGTCAAGCCTGGCTGTGTCTACAAATACCCCGGATTACTGGTAATTAAGCCCTCAAATTCCTACGTGCCTCGTTTGGCAGATCATTAAGTCACTTTTTGAATAAGAGAGAGGGGGATCTAGTCACCTCCAGGTCTTCAGAGATGACCTTAACTCTCTCTCAGTGCTTAATTAAACTGAGCAGTGAAGTGCATCTGGCACGCTTGGCCCCCTGCCTCCGACTGAGCGGCTACGTAGTGGGATCACAGAGAAGCATTTACCCAGACAGAGGAGTCACTTGAGC